AATATTTTTCCCGTGTATAATACACTATTTTTTTCTGTGACAGAAGGAAGGACGAATCAATATTGAGAAGATATTACATTATTTCGAAATCTGTAAATTATCGACGTGAAATTTCAAGTCTTTAACAGTAGGGACACCTGGCGTTTTATAGGCATCTTCATCATTCTTTTGAAGTAATCAAATATCTGATGTCACTTCTGTCAGTTCAATTCTGTGATTTGATTTTAAAAAATTGCGAATTCAGTAGTTGTTTAGTAATATACGAAACCGCGAAGTTGAATGGAAGATAAAAGGACTTGCAGTTCTTTCTCGGAGACGGTATTATTGACTCATTTTTCGGAACTATAGCACAACAAAAGCCATTAACAGAGTATATATGTGTATGTAATATATATCCGGGAAAAAAGTACTCACTTTTTTCCCATGGGAAAAAAGTAATTTATGAAAAGTGACATTTTATAACCTGCCAACAGAGATGAAATGCCAAACTTTTTTCTTGTCACAGAAAAAATACCTTTATTTTGGTAAAAACAACAAAAAAAATCAAACTTCAGTTTAATTCTCGGTTTAATTTGAAATAACAAAACACGAAACAAAAAATAATATTTTTCCGAAAATATGTAATACATGGTAATATAAAAAACTTGTCGTTTGATAAATTTTTAAGGATTGCAAAACCGGGAAAGAGGAATATATTCATCATTATCAATATTATCATCTTCACTCAAGGCAACTAATTCATCATTCGACGAGATCCAGTCCAAGCTTTTGGCTTTTTTATCTGTATTTGGGTTTAAACATTTGAAAATAAATACTAGATTACTGGCTTTTTCGTTGCCTAGACGATTTCTTGATTTAGATTGAACTATTCCAAAACTCGAAAAAAATTCTTTCTAAATCAGCTGTTGCCGCTACTGCACTGAATAACTGCTCACATAGTTGTAAGAAGAGTTCTTTTTTGGCCATTCCGAGTCAGGAATTGCAGCCGATTTCCACCAAATCGTTGTGTGCGTGAGGCCTGTTTGTTTGTATTGCTAAACTTGCTGAAGTTGATTCTTTTTCCATAGTTGTCTCTGTTCATGGCATGATGTAAACAAAGTAAGTCATAGAAAAAAATCAAGTTCAGCAGGTAGAGCAAGGACAAATGAACACGCCTGATGTACCATGTACCTAACAAGCAGTAAACAAAAACCGGGGATTCCCCGAGTTGTAAGTTATAACCACGAAACGCACTGTTGTCACGTATTCATTTTTAACGCAAAATATCAAGGATTTTTTGCTCCGGTATTTATTTTGTTAAAAAGAAGTAAATGATATATATCATGATATATATCAATCAATAAATATCAGATATATATCATGATACATATCATGATATATCACTTGATATAATTATATCGGCCAACCCTGTTCAAGAAAGTCACAAAAACCTGGTAATTAAATAATTTTGAATCCGTCCCTGGCATGGTCGCGTCTTCACTGCGCATGCTCACATTTACCGTTCGAGCCACGTTAGGGAACACTCGAATAGAACGATATATTTGGCCTTCTAGGTCTTTGAGTTCTGTGGTATAATTTATACAGATTGGGCCATTGAAAACGAGACTGCGACTCTGTAGGTCGACAAAACCGGAATATGATAAAAATCTGAAACACGTTAACTACATTTTCGAGGGGGACATCACTCTAAAATATTTTCAGCCCTGCGGCGTTGCCGCTTCTGAAGGAAAGAAGCAACAACTTTGTTATTTCAAATGGAACACCTTGTATTTCATTGCATTTTTAGATTCTCCCCGAAGAGCTGATTTCATCAATGCATCACACTTCGGGTCTAGCTGGAACGATTTCAGGGATATAGGGTGGTCAAAATCAAGATTTTTCAACTTTAGGATTTTTTTGTGTCAAAACTATTCATTATTGGTCAAAACGGCTTGTATGTCCCTATCTCAACTTTTGATTTACTATCTACTGACATTTATTCGAAACAAATGCAGGGTGGTTCAAGATTCAGACTTCTGATCACCCTGTATCTGTTACAATTAAATGTCAGTAGATAGTAAATCAAAAGATGTGATAGGGACACAAAAAAATTCTAAAGTTGAAAAGACCCCAAGTGTGATGCATTGATGAAATCAGCTCTTCGGGGAGAATCTAAAAATGCAATGAAATACAAGAGGTGTTTCATTTGAAATAACAAAGTTGTTGCTTCTTTTCGTTAGAAGCGGCAATGCCGCAGGGCTGAGAATATTTTAGAACGATGCCCCCCTCGAAAATGTAGTTGACATGTTTCAGATTTTTCTCATAATCCGGTTTTGCCGACCTACAGAGTCGCTGTTTCGTTTTCGATTGCCCTGTATAGGGACGTCGTGTGGTAATGTTTCGGGAATGTCATTCGAGAATGTGAGACGACGTTTAGGGATAGTTTCCGGTAAATCGGTTGCAGAAATTGTTCTGGAAAGTCTCGTGGAGGTTATTCGGGAAAGTCGTTTTGAAGAAGTCTTAAATATGACCATCAGGGATATATCCTGGATGACGAAAAGTTAGAGCTTCCAGGACGTAAGTTGGTATGTCTGAGGGTATCGTTCGGAAAAGTATCAGGGACGTTGAGATAATTTCCGAGACGTCAAGCATGGAGTCCCGGGACGTAAAAAATGTCTATGGGATGATCTTCGGGAATATCACAAGGGCGGCGTAAGGGGAAGTTCACAAGCCGTCGGGCAAGTCTCAGGAGGGCGACAAGTGAAGCGACGGATATCGCGACTTATTGACTCTCATAGATATGTGGGAAGTCTCAGGGAGACAATCGCGCGTATCTCAATGACTCGTTGATAGTTTCCGATAAGTCGGTCGGGGTAACCTCAATTCTTAAGAACGTCATTTGGGAGAAGTCTCAAGTATGACCATTGGGAATATTCCATGCACCATTTAAGGCATAGTTTTGAGGACGTCGATCAGTTTCTCAGAGACGTTCATGAGAGTTTCCTAGACGTCAATCGTGGAAGTTCCGGCACGTCGTCCAAAAGGAACTCTCAGAGACTACCATTGGAATTATCTAAAATACGTCGTAAAAAGGATAGTTCTAGAGTCGACGATCGAAAAAATCTCAGGGTGAGGGAAGTCGTTCGTGTCCTTAGGGTCGTTCTTCAGGATAATCCCCGGGGTGTTCTTGAGTGGGCGACGAACAGGAAGTGTGATGCTACAGGTAGGTGGATAGAATATGGTGCAATGACAGACAGTGTTTTGTTTCTCCCAAAATGCTTGACCGGAGCAGAGATATCGGAGACTTCTCAGTTGTCCACAAGATGGCGACCCTTTTTACAGATTTCTTTCATAAAAGGAAATGGCGCTTACACACCGCTTGCACCAGAAATAATAATATAACATTCATAACATAACCAGATTAAATTTGAAAGTACGAGATCATCAGTCACCCACAGTGGATGGTACGATACTGTACTGTTGGGGAATTTCAATTATCATCAGCTCTACCAGCCTTGAATTTTGGTTGAGATTGCGCCATCTAACGTGTAAAATGCGACGTATATTCCGCGATATTGAAAAGAATCCTTTTGTCAAGTAGGCCGTAGGTCTAGAACTTTGACCGAGAAACAGTAGATGGGATTGGATTGAAGTTTCTACACCATCTTCTGTTTATCCTGACCTGACTCGCACCAACATGATCACGGCGACTCGGGCGAACTGATAACTGTGAGCTCAGACTGCGAGCAATTGTTTTACCATTGTCTGCTAAATATGGAGAAATTCCATATTTAGCAGACAATGGTTTTACTCACAGTGACGTACAGGAAGATGCGTCAAAGCCGAGGTCATATGACTCATATAGCACACTAGAGTGAGATCACCAGAGCTAAGCATTTTTTGTATTTACCACTGTATTTACATATACTTTTCAGTATTTAAATCCTATTTAAATACTTTCTGGTTCAGGTAATTATATTTATACTTATAAATATGTGTTGGAATATATTTATAACTTATATTAGTATTCGCAAATAGTTTCACAAAGTAAATACCTATCTAAAGTATTTAAATACTTTCGGAGTATTTAAATACTCAGAAGGTTTTAGCTGAATCCTGTGGAACTATCTAAGTATTTAAATACTCCGAGAATAATTAAATATTCAGATTCTGACTTACTACGGTCATCACGGCTATGATATCATCTTCTTAAATGGACCATCCTGTTAATTTTAGCTTTTCACAATCTGAGCTGATATAATTCATTCATTTTAGAGACGATCGAGGATAGAAGTCCCAAAGAAATCGAGTAAAGTACTATGTGAGTACTTTTGCTATGAAAATTACTCCAATCAATTACTGAAATCTACATTCCGCAAGGTGTTTTAAAACGTCAAAAACACTCAAGTAACATGAATGTATTCAAATCCTTGAGAATATTTGAATACTTTGAATGTATTAACTTTGGAAGTATTTAAATACTTTGGAAATACTCAAATACTTAGGAAAAATCCAAATACTTTTAGCATATTTAAATACTTTGAATATTCCCAAATACTTTGAAAGTATTTGAGTATTTAAATACTTTATTGAAAGTATTTAAATCCTTTGGATGTATTTGAATACTTTTTGGCCTTTGAAAATATATTCAATATCTTAAAGTATTTAATACTTCATATTTAAATACTTTCCTCAGAGTATTTGCCCAGCTCAGTAGCACACCAAACTATAATTCCACCAGGAACCAGCCAATGATGTAAATCTGTTCATGGCCAAGTTGATAATGGTTAGTTATTTTATTTTTACTGCCTGTATAAAGAAGAAGTGATACCATGAACTTCACTAAGCATTTCACATGTTCCCTTCCCATGAAGTTTCAGATATGTTGTCCGAGTAGTAAAAGTGCTACTATAAAGGGATCAATGTAGGCAGGAAAATAGCTGAGTGGCAGAGACATAGATGAGGAGACAAACAAAACACTTCTTTTTTTATTGAATTGAAAAAGTATGTACAACAAAAGTGGGTCTGTGATAAACCATTTTTTATGCATCTGTTATATTTCCATATTCAAGGAATCAATATAACTTGAGATGCCCTGTTATTTCATCTAGGACACTTTTAGGTGCTGGACCTATGGCAATAACAGTTCTACTTCCAGGAGCAACTTGTGTTTGACCTGCATCACGGATAATACTAGATAACACATTCAATCGTTTTGCATGAAGATCTATCTTGATCATTTCTTCTTCTGAATCAACCCGAACTGCTATTTTAGTACCACCTGGAATTATGAATAAGTATTTGATTGGAATATTGAATTCTTCCTAAAAACTGATTTTTTGAATTGAGATGTCAGGTTTTCTTTCCTTTTACACAATAGACAAGTATGACATGAGAAGTAACTAAATTGTTGCTACTTTGTTATTTGCATTTGGAAACATGGCCTCTGTTCCTGGTTGGGGGCTCAATCAATAAATTACAATAATGATAAACTGCAGTAAATTTGTCCAACACAAAAAACAAGTTGAAGGAAAAAACAACTAATAATATTCAGCTAACCATATACCATATCTCAGCCAGTTTTTGAGGGTTTTAGGTTTTTGCTTCAGAGCTTTTGCATATGCTGCTACTGCTGCATGGCCACACTGAGCAGCAACTTTTCCTTTTTGCATTTTCAAATCATTTCTTACTCCCATTATCAATCTATACTCATCCTTTGGATCTTCGAACTGAAAATACTTCTATTCATTAGATCAACACTGCTGAAAGATAATGAAATGCAAACCTCGAATCTTTCTTCTGTCCCATTTTTCCATATCTCTTCTTTGGGTAGATATCTAGACCTGATGAGGAAGAAAGCAGAAGTTGCACCAACAAGGGTTCCTGTACTGAAAACTATCAAACTTGAAGTACTAGCAATTATTCCCATAATTATTAAGAATACAAAAACTAAAATAAATACTATATATCTCAAAAATAAACTAGAAAATCACAGCATGAGCAAAAGCATAAATACCGCCATAACCTCAATCTCGCTTTTTCTGCCAGTGTTGCCAATCACAACCACAAAACTCACACAAAACTACTGACTAAAACTACTGACCAAATAAAATCGACCCGTGATTCCGTGAACATTTCCGGTTGATCCTGCAAAATAGACAAACGTCTCTTGCCAGTCATTCAATTAGTAGCATGCTGCTGTGCTGCGGAAAATCTTGAGGTTATCAGGATGTTATAAACGTATGTATGTATGTATGTATGCGAGAGAAATTTATGATAAATTTATGTACTGCTTGTGATGATAATTTCTTCTTTCTTCATAGTTAGAACCTTCGAGTAGCTCGATTGCTCAGTGGTCTTCGTATCTGAATTCCACGGCGGCGGCTCGCGTTCAAATCTCTGCGAGGCATAATTTTTTTTATATTTTATTTTCACAAGTAATTTTTCGATAAATATACTTCGGAGAGAAAGGATCATTTCGGACGAGTTCGGTTGAAATAGGTAGGGTCCCTTGATGGAAATTGACATTAAAGTCATCTCAACAGGGTACGGACAGATTAGGGTCCCTTGATGAAAATTGACGTTAAAGTCATTTTAACAGGGTACGGACAGATCATAGCTGCATTCTTTTTTAATGATGTAGAGACTTTAGTTTTGTCTACTGGCATCCCTGACATTGCTGTCACGTCACATCCATGGGCGCTACAAATTTCAATAATAGGTATGTACAGGGTGTTTACTTGTTGAAGATCATATGGCGAACGAGTTTTGTAATTATGATCCGATTCTATTCAAAATTGGTATCTGGGGGTTTCCGGGGTAGGATATAATGATCGTTTCGTCAAAATTGGGAAATTCAAGATGGCGGATTCGATATGACGGAAGACATTAGTTTATATGATCATTACTCTACCACAAATAGAAAATATGTAGGATGCAAGAGTGAAAATAACGTGACTATAAGTTATACTGCGTATACCTACATCTTTGTTACTTTTATCAATCAATTGTTCGAAAATGACTTTTAATTTGAGGGGGACGGAAAAATCATATGTATAACATGGGGGTAAAGTATATTCTATTCTTCATTTTCCTGCATATTTTACGTATTACTTTTCATCAGCCTACTTTTCGTCCTAGACAAAGTTGTATACATGATATACGTGATATTAGTCACTCCATAAATTCCTCACCGAGCTGGATTTCCAAAAATATATTGAGCACACATGAATAAGTACAGTAGTTTCGGTTTCCATCATTCTCAATCATAAGGCTCAGCTCATTAAGCTGATAGATAAACTTCGCTGCTCAGCTTGAAATCAGAATTCATTCAGTCAATTCAGTCAACCCTAGTATACAGTCTAAGAACAGTCTCTCTTAGTGAAATATATTAAGCTTTCAGTACAATTTATATGTTCCCTACCTCGCAAAGATTATGCTGGAGTAGTACACTCTAAATCTAGAGGACTGTTCATCTATATCTTGGTATAGTTGAATCGGGAATTCCATATGGAAATTACGTATGATACGCCAGTGACCTCAATATAACCTAAAAAACAACGAATGTCAAAAATCTAGTGTTTTCCCTAGAATTGAATAAGGATGGAACTATATAACTGTTTCACAAACACTTTAGAGTGAGAGGCGACGAGGATCTGTCCCTGTCCGTACCCTGTTAGGATGACTTTAACCGTTGATTGATATATTACGCTTACGCTGGGAAGATGCCCAACCTTATGGGGCAAAACGAGGTCCAAAAAAATCTCACAACTAGATGGCGTACCATAGTTCGAAATCTCACATAGTGGCGGCGATAGTGTCGAACGATGTCGGAGCAATACTTCGTAATTTGACGGGCAGGTGCGCCACTTACGAAGAGAATCAATTGGAATGCAGATGGCGTGCGACTTGGAACAATTAAACAATCCATAATCCAGAACGCTTGTATCGAATCCACGATCAATCAGTACGATTCTAACTAATATGGCGGTAAATTCGAATTTGTTAGTAATAGTTGTACTGGATGCTTCCATTTTTGGCGATTGTGGAATAAACTGGTCAGCGGATATCGATATATAAGCTGCTCATAAATTTGATTGAAATTCACGAACCCGGACCAGTGTTGTCACCTTATTAGTGCATTTTACCCTAGAACTGAATCTAAATGGGTCTGTTTGAGTGGAATTTCATATTTCATTATGTCGAATTACTAAATCAAACGATACTGTCGCAAATCATTTTCTTGTCAGAGCTATGTACAATTTTTGAAATTTTTATTATTGAAATTACTGATATTTATCACATGAAAAACGCGGAACATTGCGTGACAATTCTATACCGCTATCAATCCAAAGTATTTTATACTGGTATATGATCCGACCTATATGTCGTATTGCCGAAACTTGGAGTGCCAATAATTTCCTTTGATTTTTGTGGGGCGGGCGACTCGGTGCGTTTGTCGGCGATAGGGCTGCCAAGCCGTCGTTTGTCGCCCTAACAACACAAGTACATCCTAGGGAATTCCCAGGGACGTCCCTAATTTTATACAAGGACATCCCTGAGATATCCTTTGTCGGGACAGAGTACATACTAGGGACGTCCCAGGGACATTAGCTGGCTGACAAATAAAGCATCCAAGGGATTTCCGTCTGGTACGTCCCTGGGATGTACCAAGTACGAAGAAAGGATATCCCTAGGAGGTCCCAAGATTATTCCAGGGACATCCCTTCGACAAAAGAAAAAAAATGTAGGTCGAGTAGGGCTTGAACCCGGGACCTTTAGCTTATCAGGCACGCACCTTACTCCATTGGCTGATATGCCTTCTGAAGATTTATGTACCAAACAGATTTTTAAACAGGACCAAACTTGGATGTTTAAAAATGAGGGGCATTATGCATTTTCGATTTCTGTTTGCGGAAAATGGTCATTTCTTGAGAAGTTCTGAGACAATTTTCTTTATTTTCATTACAATTATTTACCGAAAAAAAACCAAACATTTTCATAAAAATTCCACTCAATATTTTGATGAAAGTCAATGACTCTGAAGTGAATAGATATCAGATATTCCAAGGAAACGAATTGGATAACCTATATGGATGTACACGGGGCCGGATGTCCACTGGACAACCACTGCAGGACATCCCCTGGATACCCCAATCAGAGATTATGTGTATAATCTCTGCCCCAATTATGTCCTTGTACCGTGTGGCAAAAAGGGTACGTACCTAGAACATCCCTGTGTTGTTAGGGCGGAGATTCTGAGCGTTCCGTAGTCTGTAGTCTGTACTCCGTTGTTCTGGAGCGGCAAAATCGATTCTACTCAGAAACAGTTACTGGTATCACAAAATATCAACGCCGATTTCATGATTATATATCGTGTCATATAGACTGGAAATGTAGCTGTTGATTTTGTTTTTATCTCTTCAAATATACCAAAAAAGAATTCATATTTTTCAACAACTAGATACTGTAAAAAATGGTTCATAAGCTTATTGCAGCATCAACTCTTGTAATCCAATAAATAAATGAATTCTATATATGTTCCAATAGTTATGACTCACTCTGTATATTATGCCTATTATAGATGATGTATTTTATTCCATTTTTATAGTGAATCATTTACAATCAAAGATATCTGACTATTTATTTTCTATCTACTGATGAGACTCTAAGAAATTATCACATTCAGATTGATTATATTATCAATATTTTGTAATGTCTTAATACAAAACTTTAAAATGGATACAAATTGAGTGAAAAAAATAATCAACGAAAAAGGATTGAGATGTTTTTCCAGATATACAAATTATATTGGTCTAGGGTCTAGGCAAAGTATGACAAGTTATTCACAAGGGAATTTAAAAAAACAGCACGGAGTAGGAACCCAACTGAGTGAGAGATCATAATATGTTCATCTCTCATCCGCAAGGAACCGAGGAAAAAATCAATACTGTCTATGGGATTCACCGACCGTAGCAAACATTTTTTTATCGGAACCGGTCGGGCGGGTCGGGTCTCATCATAGAAGACAAGGATAAACAAAAATTTCTGAAGCGATAGTACGCGGTGGGATGGGATCTGTAATTCTGTACAAAAGTGTAGTAATCTGTACAATTAGTTCAGACATGTTCTGTGTGCCTAGTGGAGTCGCTACCTCACAGTGGCTAAACGATAGACGAGGGGATGAGCGGGGCATCGACTCGCAAATAACACAGGTTGGGCATCTTCCCAGCGTAAGCGTAATATATCAATCAACGCTTTAACGTCAATTTCCATCAAGGGACCCTAGGACAGATCATAGCTGCAATTTTTTTCAATGAACTAGAGACTTTAGTTTTGTCCACTGGCATCCCTGACATTGCTGTCACGTCACGTCCATGGGCGATATAGAAAATCATTCACAATTTTAATAATGGGTATATACAGGGTATTTACTTATAATGATATTTATTTGCCAAAAATTTCAAATCAAGTATACAATATAAATAATACAACAAATGGTAAATAAATGAAAGGAGACCCACAAAAGTTAAACTTGTGCGTGGGCAAAATAGTAAAGTGTAAAAGTATAAAAATAGTACTAATAGTGATGTGAAGAAAACTCCCAAGTTAAACAGTATAATATGAACAATATAATAGTAATATATATTCTTATATATATATATTCCTGTATCATGCCATGTAATAATAGATATAATAATAACGTTTATTCGCAGAATCATCGACAAGAGATACATAAATATATATACATACATACATATATATACACACGCATATTCACACATACACACATATACACATATATATATACGTACATACACATACATACGAAGTAGCAAATAAACAAAAGGATTCTGCAAAGCCTCATGGCTGTGTGCAGACTTAACTTAAGTTAACTTAAATTAAAATATAAATAAAATAGTTATAGTGATTTTATGTTACCTATATCTACTGCAATAAATAATCTAACCATACTATTGTGACGATATATTAGTGAATAGATA